CCCCCCCCCAGGACTCCCCAGCCCCTGACCCAGGTAGTGCAGCAGTTTCTGGGCTCGGTTCTGCCCCGGGCGCAGGTGGAACAGTTCGGGGTTCTCATCGATGAACTGGGTGTCTGTGGAGCCCTTCAAAAACTGGGGGTGGGCCAGGACGTTCTGCAGGAACGGGATGTTCGTCTGGGGAGGGGGAGAGAGGGGGGACAAGGAGTGAGAGGAGGGGAAAAACCAGCCCCAAATCCTTGGGTGACACGAAAACACCCCCAAATCCTCGTGGGGTGTTTGGGGGGGGCTCAGAGAGAACCCAAGGGAGGGGGGAAACCAGCCCCCAACCCCCTCGTGCACCTCACCAGAGCCCCTCCAAAGACCCTCCCATGCCCCCAACCCCCTTGTGCCCCCTCCCCGAGCCCCCCCTGAGCCCACCTTGACCCCCCTGATCCTGAACTCGGCCAGGGCCCGGCTCATCTTGGCGGCGGCCGAGGGCTGGTCGGGCCCGTGGGCCACCACCTTCACCAGCAGGGAGTCGTAGTGGGGCGAGATCAGGGCCCCCTGGAACGCTGAGGCCCCGTCCAGGCGGATCCCCATCCCCTCCCCGGAGCGGAACACCTGGGAAAGGGACACAAAAACACATAAAAACACCCCAAAACCTCATAGAGACACCCCAAAAACCCTATAGATACCCTATAGGTACCCCATGGATACCCCAAACCCTACAGCAATCCCACTGCAGGATCCCAGTGGTGTCCCCGTTGTGGGGTCCCAGCGGTGTCCCCATTGAGGGGGGTCTCAGTGTCATCCCTGTGGGGTCCCAGTGCCACCCCCCTGGTGTCCCAGTGTCACCCCCGTGGGGTCCCAGTGGTGTCCCCATGGTGTCCCCGCTAAGGGGGTTCCCAGTGCCATCCCTGTGGGGTCCGAGTGTCACCCCTGTGGTGTCCCAGGGTTGTCCCCGTGGGGTTCCCAGTGCCACCCCCCGATGTCCCAGTGCCACCCCCATGGTGTCCCAGTGTCACCCCCATGGTGTCCCAGCGGTGTCCCCATGGGGTCCCCACTGAGGGGGGTCCCAGTGTCACCCCTATGGGGTCCCAGTGGTGTCCCTGTGGGTTCCCAGTGCCATCCCCATGGGGTCCCAGTGCCATCCCTGTGGAGTCCCAGAGGTGTCCCTATGGGGTCCCAGTGTCACCCCCGTGGGGTCCCAGCAGTGTCCCCACAGTGTCCCATCCCCACTGGGGGGGTCCCAGCACCATCCCTGTGGTGTCCCAGTGCCACCCCCGTGGTGTCCCAGTGTCACCCTGCTGGGTCCCAGTGGTGTCCCTATGGGTTCCCAGTGCCACCCTTGTGGTGTCCCAGTGTCACCCTGTGGGTTCCCAGTGCCACCCCCGTGGGTTCCCAGTGCCACCCCGTGGTGTCCCCCGTGTGTCCCCACCTCGATGCGTCCGGTGTCGGGCTGGAAGCCGCGCGCGGGGTCCTCGGTGGTGACGCGGCACTGGATGGCACAACCATTGACCCGGATGTTCTCCTGCACCAGCCCCAGCTCGGGCAGAGACCGGCCCGCGGCCACCTGCAGCTGGGCATGGACCAGGTCCACACTGGGGGGGCACAGGAGGGGCACGGGGTCAGTGGGGCACAGGGGGGCACAGGGGGTACGACCCCACAGTCACCTGGAGCTGGGCATGGACCAGGTCCACACTGGGGGGGGATAACGGGGTCAGGGGGGCACAACGGGGTCAGGGGGTACCCCCCCATGGGCACCTGGGGCTGGGCACGGACCAGGCCCACGCTGGGGGGGCACAGGGGACACAGGGGATACAAGGAGTTCGAAGGTTCCCTCCAAGTTTTGGGGGTTCCCCCGTTATTCTGGAACTTCTGGGTTTCCCCCGGAGTTTTTGGGGTTCCCCGGGGTGTTTTTGGGGTTCCCCCCGAGGTGTTTTTGGGGTCCTCACTCGGTGATCTCCTCGGTGACCGTGTGCTCCACCTGCAGCCTCGAGTTGACCTCGATGAAATAATAGTCCCCGTTCTGGTCCACCAGGAACTCCACGGTGCCCGCGTTCTCGTAGCCCACCTGGCACCCCAAATCACACAGCTGAGGGGGGGGCAGACCCCCCACCCTATTCTCCCCTGTCCCCCCCCATCCCCAAGTACCTGCTGTGCCCACCTGGCACCCCAAAACACACAGGTGAGGGGGGAACCAGACCCCCCCACCCAATTCTCCTCTGTCCCCCCCACTCCGTGCCCCCCCAGCCTCCCAATTGTGGGGGTACCTGCCGTGCCCACCTGGGACCCCAAAATCATGCAGGCAAGGGGGGTGCCCCTGTCCCCTGTCCCCCTCCGTGCCCCCCCAGCCCCCCAATTTTGGGGGTACCTGCTGTGCCAGGCGCACGGCGTCCTGGGCCAGGCGGGCGCGGAGCTCGGGGGGCAGCCGGGCAGCCGGGGCGATCTCCACAACCTTCTGGTGCCGCCGCTGGATGGAGCAATCCCGCTCGTGCAGGTGCACCACGTTCCCGTGGG